GTATTAATAACAGAACTGCTGAGAGCAATAGGGGGCTTTGCTGGGACACCTGAAACCCCAGGTTCAGGGCAGGGCAAACTGCTACCCCTTTAGCATTGGCTGAGCAGATCCTTTGGGCCTGCCAGGTGCCCTTTACTGTCCCTTCTCCCACATGAGGAAACTGAGGCTTGGAGAGGCTGAGACACTTGCCAAGAAGTACACAGCTAGGAAGTGGCTTGACTGAGGTCCTCGGCTCCCTGCTTGACGTCCCTTTTCCCCAGGATGAAGTCCTGGCCAGAGAGGGCCTGCAAACGCAGGGGCAGCCAGGGAACGGGCTTCAGGGCGCGGTAAGCGAGAATCACCTCACTTTACCTCTCACTCTGTTTGGGTCTGCAGGATGCTTCTCCTCCGTCCTGCGGTCTGCTGCTGCTCTGGGGGCCCCTTCCACAGAAGGAAGAGGGTGGGGTGGGGAGTCTGTGGCTGGGGGCTCCTGGCCCCTGTCCTTCCCGGAGTGTGGGAGCCCCATCCAGGTCTCCCAGGGGAGTCGAATGCATGGTCCTAAGGCTGCAGAGGCCTGTCAGCCCACAGGACACCCCACAGCAGGAGCTGGGTGTGGCACAGGCCGGGGCCCCTGTGTTGGGCACAAGCTGCACAGCCTGGGTGGTGTCCAGCCTGACCCTGCAGCTGTTCCCAGCCCCACACAGATACCTGCTCTTGCAGGCTGGAGCACAGCAGCCTCCCTTCCCCAGTCTTCTCTGCTCCAGGAGGTCAGGAGGAACAGAGTCAGTTGGCGTAGGCCCCGGCCCCCTCAGGCTGTGATCTAGGGCTTTGGAACAGGAACAGAGCTTGTAGAGTTCCTGTCTGGACACCACAGACGGCTTTTGGAAAGAAATGGCTGAGAAGCTTTGGTTGGCTAGCAACAGCACACACTGAGGCCGGCGAAGTCTCCCTCCTGTCACCCTGCACCTGTGCCGGGCGGGCGGGCGGGCAGGACTCAGCCTGGATTCACCACGTCTCACTCCAGATCTGGCCAGCCTGTGGCAGAGGGCAGAGGGGACACTGGGGGTGGTTCTGTGGTGCAGGTAGTGAGGAGCAATCCTTCCATCCCACCCCACCCTGCAGCTGCTGCTGGTGCCTGTGCCTGAGGTCGAATGGGCATGAGGAAATGCATCTTCGGCTGAGACCTGAGCGCCTGCTGCCTCTGCCTGCAAGTTTTGCTCCAAATATCCCCAGGTCTTGCCTGTGACATTCGCAAGGTTTCTGCTGAATGTCACCTTCCCCTGCCATCTCCCTACAGAGAAACTTCCTTGCCCCACCCTGCTTTACTTTCCTTCATGGCACTCACAGCAGTGCATGCTCACTGTCTGTCCTCTGTCTCTCCCCACCCATGAGAGGACATTGAGCTCTGAGAGGGCAGGCTGTGCTGTGCTGCGCTGCGCTGCGTTGTGCTGCTCAGCCACTGTTCTGACACTGGAGCAGTGTCGGGCCCTGGGAGGATCTCAGGAAATGCCGCATGGATGGATGGATGGATGGATGGACACTGCACTAGACTTCAACAAACCAAAAACACTTTAGATTTTGTGTCCCTCAGGGATTCGCAGCCTACACCCTGGTTGGATGTGTAAGCTTGCAGCCTGATGCATAAACCATGAGGAGTTACAATGCCAGGGAGAGAGACAGCAGGCGCGGGAGTGTGCCGGGCCTAAGGAGCCCGAACCTGCCAGAACTCCTGGGGCCCAAACTGGACGTGGCACCGTGCCATCCTATCACTCCCCTCAGTCCCTTCTGGAGAGAAGGGTGGGTGACATGGAGGAGGGAGACTTTGAGGCTACACAGAAGGCCCCAGTGCAGAGTCCCTGGGGTATGGGACTCCTGGGTTGCTGGAGGACTGACCCTAAGGGTTTGGGGCAGCTGGTGAGTCTCTCTAGGCCATGAGGCACTGTCTGGCTCTGTGCCCTCTGCCCAGTGCCCGGCAGCAGGCACACACATGGACAGCATCTGATAACAAGATCCAACCCACACCCAGGCAGCCAGGATGTCCAGATGTCCATTGACTTTTTTTCCAGGTTGACCAGAAGTCTGCACAATCCTTATCACTCAGTTCTCAGATTCTACTTCTGACCTGTAATTTTGAGATAGTTTCTGAGCTATTACCTTGAATGCTAATGTCCCCTTTCGGGTTTTTTTGGGTTTTTTTTTTTGGTACCGGGGATCGAACTGAGCCAAACCCCTGGCCCTCTAACGTTCCCTTTCTACAAGCTGCATACCATCACACATACTCCCCCCATTTTGCCTCAGTGTAAATAATGAAGAATACCCTATGGCCCAGAGCAGAAAGACCCAATTACTAGAGATCTAGTGCAGCAAGCAGAAGCCATAAATATCCCAGTCTGCAGCAGTTGTGAAAAATTAACCACACAGCAATTAAAGAAAACTGGCCTCCCATGGAGGAAACATGCAAAGACCCTCAGTGCGGAACTCAGGAGTCTGAGGAAGTCCCTCGCAGGCCCTTGCATCCTTAATGCCAGGGAGTGGGTGTATGATTCCCTCACATCATGGAGAACAGGGCAGGGGCCCGAGCTCTGGCCACCAGGTTTCTTCTTGCTCTTAGAAAGGACTCGGGCTGTGGGAGGGCTGCCTTGGAACGGTAAGCTGGCTGTCACTGGAGAAAGCGCCCCGACTGAATGCATCCTGCCCTGGAGGGAAGAAAGGCTGAAGGTACAATGTTGGGGAGAGGAAGAAGCTAAAGGGAAGCCCCGTTTTTAGGGACGGCACCTCCCTGGTCTGGGACTCTCCTCAGGCCTCTGCTCCTACCTCAGGTAGCACAGAGATTCTGAAATATTGGCCCTGAAGGATTTGAGCCTCAGGCCCTTGGCCCAGCATTTCTGCACAGGGTAGAGGGTAGGAGGGATCTGAGAGCGCCCCAAGTTTCCTTCTTCGCCCCTGAACTCAAAGAACCAGGAGTCAGGAGTTGGACCCCAGGGTCGGGAGATCAGTTTCTAAAGCACTTTTCGGAAGACAGCTCCAAATCGACACGAGGGAGCCTCTGTCCTGTCCGAGTGTCCGGGGACCCAGGGGGACAGGCGGCCGGGCTGGAGGGCGGTGCCGCCCCGGGCCCCCAGTCCCTTCTCGCCAGGCGCCCAGCTGTTCCCCAGCTGCTTCTCGACTGACAGCTCCAGGCTCAGCCTCCTCGAACTTGCATCTGGGCACGGGGTGGGGACCCGGTGGGCACCGGGCCTGCCTGGAAGGGGAGGTGGGCGGCGGGGAGGGGACATTCTGGCGGGGGAGGCCGGGAGCAGCCCCAGCTCCTTCAGGGCACAGCCTCCTCTGCCCGGCTCTTCTGGGAGGTGGGCGACAGCTGCTCCGACAAAGCCGGGGACAGCTGGGTGGCTGGGACAGCTGGAGGGGTGAGCGCCCCCTGCTTCCCTGGGTCCCAGCCCACGGGGCGCCTGCAGCTGCGCGCTGCGCCTCACTGTGAAGGCGGCCGAGCCCCGCCTCGATGGTGGCTCCCCTCAGGCGGTGAACGAGGCCCCTCCAGTTAGCCAGAGCAAAACTAGGCCAAGTGGGTAAGAAGCTGGGCAGCTTCCTGTCCCAGCTCCCAGCTCCTGGCATGGTCAGTGTCCCAGGGCCCAGGACAAGCTGGAGGACAGCGAGACGGGCCGAGGTGCGAAGCCTGTCTGTCGCCCAGCACTCAGCCTCCCGCGGCAGGGCCACCATGTCCCAGATCCGCCCCTCCTTTCACCCCAAACAGGAGCGGGGTGAAGGAGAGGCAGCCCGGTCCTCCCGCTCCTGACTCCAGCTCCCTGCCGACTGGGGAAGGGACGAATGTTGTGTGGGCCCGTCCTGCCCAGGGCCTGGCCAGCAGAGGGGGCGGCACCCAGGAGGACCTGCACTGGTGTGAGCTGGCCGGCGCCAAGCCTGACCATCTGCCCGCCTGGTCCTCTTCCTGAGGGGGGCTAGGCCTCACTGGGCCTTAGGCCAGTGGCAAGGGACTCAAACCACAAGGCTCCCGCCTTGGTCCAGATCTCCAATTCCACCCAGACAAGAGGAAAGAGTCGCCTATAACGGTTGTGTCTTCAAATCAAACAAACAAAAAAAGGTTGTGTCTTACATATGGGAGGAGCACATGGGCTCACACAAATTATCAGGCTGGGCCTTTGGCACATGTTTGTATTCCCTACACTCTGGGAGGCTGAGGCAGGATTGCAAGTTTGAGCCCAGCCTGAACAACTCAGCAAGCTCCTGTCTCAAAATAGAAAAGGGACGGGGATATAGCTCAGTGGGAAAGCCCTGCCTGGGTTCAATCCCGAGTGCTGCCAAAACCTACACAACTACATCAGGCTACCAAGTGGAGGGCAGGCCCTCTGCAAAGAGCTCGTGTCTCCCAGGGGCCTGTCCAGGTGACACACGGCAGGCAGGACCCTGCAAGCCCCTCACAGCAACACTTCTCAAATCCCAGACCCTCCAGGAGTTAGGAATGCAAGGTCCTGGGGTCTCGGTTTCCCACAGGAGCCAAGAGCCAGGAGTCTCGTCATGCTTGAGTTCCTGAAAAGCTGCCAAGGCAGGTAGGGTCTTCATCTGTACCCCTCTACCTCTCCCAAGAAGTGTGGGAACGGGCAGCCCCTGCCCCTATGGGGGCCCAGCAGCTGTCCCTCGTGGCTGGCAACACAGCATGTGCTCGATAACTATTTGTGGGCTGAAGGAGGTAAACTCTGCAAGACTTGTAGAAAAGCGTCTCTCCCTCATCTGTCCCAGCTAACAGCACACTGCTAGGTGTAGCACGGGGCTGGGCCTGGCGGACCTGTAGCAAATATTCGTCAAATGAACCCGAGGTCAAGAGCAGAGGTAGCCAGTCAGTACTTGAGGCCTGGTATCCTCTAGACCCAGGAGGGCAGAAGGGAGGAAAGGGAGGGCTTGTCCTTAGATGCCCTCCTCACAAAAGAGCTTGAATCCCCTGGGGTGGCATGTGCTGGGAGAAGAGGTGAGGCGGGGCGCAGGGAGCAGGACTGCACCCTTGTATTTATTAGGAGGTTGGATTTCAGTGTGCTCCAGACATTACAGAATAAATACCTGCGCCTTGAGAACAGGAAGTCCACGATCATCCAAAGTGCTCACTACAGGAAGGTGCTGCGTCAGACGCCAGGCAGGCAGGCAGGCACCCAACTTGGGCAGCCCTTCCTCCTCCACAGACCTCAACAAGGGCTGTGCCAGTTTTTATTTCATTATTTCCTTTATTTCTTTATTATTATTAATATTATTATTATTTGCTTTTGCTGTGGTCACTATCATTGGCAAAGTTCCTTTTCCCCTTTCCTGGACACGAGGTTCCTGTCTGTAGATTCCACTTTGAGGCTGAAGGTGCCGAAAGCTGCTTGAGAAGTGGCCTTTGACCTCCGTCTGGGAAGACGGCGAGAAGGGAGAGAAATCATTCTTGGTTTTAAAAAAATTTAAAAAAAAGTCCCACAATCTATAGATCATTCCTTAATCAGTGATCAAAACGCCCAAAAGAAAAACAGGAGGGAGAAGCAGGCCAGCAGGCACCGGGCCCTCCTCCAGGGGAGTGAGAGGGTGCCCAAGGCTTCAGGGCAAACCAAGGTTCCTTCCAGCCCCAGGGGTGAGGGGGAAGGAGTGGAAGGAAAGGGGAGACAGCGAGAGGGGAGCCCTCACATTCCCCCAGACCCAGGGCCACCCAGGCCAGCTCCCGCTGCCACCTCCGTGTTCATAACAACAAAAGAAATAGTCAAAAACAGAGGCCCCAACAAAATCCAGAAGGCAAAGCTCTGGGGAGTGGTGTGAGGAAGCGGGAGAGGAGGTGGAAGGGCAGGTCTCTGGGTGCCCAATTCCCAAGCCACCGGGGCAGGGGAGGGTCCCCAGCACCCGCCGCCTCGGCGTGGCGTTAGCTTGTCACGTAGTGTTTGGTGGACGGCTGCCCATACACCCTGTAGAAATCCTGGTGGCCGGGCTGCTGGGAGGGGTCGAGCCAGTCTCTGACGGCCAGGCCAGGAAGGGACTGGGGCACGGAGGGCGCGGGCGGCAGTGAGTGGGAGTAGTCCTGGGAGGGCACTGTCCAGGGGAAGTGGCCGGAGCGGGGGTAGGGCTGGTGGCCGCCGTGGTTGGCCACGGAAGAGCAGTAACAGTTGTCCACGGAGCAGACGAGAATCTTGCGGCCGCCGTACTGGGGGAGCATGGGCTGCTGGGTGGTAGAGCCGTTGGGGTACTGCGACGGGGGGAACACGGGACTCGAGTGCACTGGCTGGGCGCCACCTGGCAGGGCCACCAAGTGCTGCGTCGAGCTGCAGGGCCCCAAGGGCTGCCCGGGCTGCCCCTCGCCGCTGGCTGTGCCCGCTGCCCCGTACTGGCTGCCCACAGGGCCCGAAGACGTCTCCAGGAAACTGGCCTCGGGAAAGGCTGTCGAGTGCTTGCGCTTCTCCGCCCCAGAGCCGCTCACACCACAGGGGTACAGGGGGACGCTCTGCAGGAAGGGCACCGGTGTGCTGAAGGGGCCTGTGGAGAGGGTGAGGGGCGTCGTCAAAGCTCCCGGCCCAGGGAACCAGGGCCCTCTCCTGGGGACCGCCCACGTCCACGTCCACGTCCACGTCCCCCGAACCGGCATGTGACAGGCTGCTCCACGCTCCTGCCCCATTAGGAGGCGGAGGCTGTGGCTCCCCTTTCCAGCTAGACACTGAGGCTTGGGGCAACGGCCCTTGCCCAAGGTCCCAGGGACAGGAGAGGCTAGACTGGGACATGAGGGCCAGTGGCGAGGCCACCCTGCCTGCTGCCCAGGGCTCGGGCACTCACCCCTTCCCAGGGACCTGGCCTCACCTTCCAGCATCTTCCGCAGCTGCTTCTCCTTCTTGGCCACCTCGTTCAGGAAGAGCTTGGAATTCAGGTGGCCGATCTTAGGGGGAGAGAGGCTGCTGCCCGTGCAGCTCTGGGTCCTGGGGACAGTGGGCGGGGCGTTGGCTGTGAGGAGATGTCACCAGCGCGCCCGCCCCCCACGGGCCTGGCTCCCATCCCACGGCCCCCTGGGTGTTTACTGGGGCCAGGGCACCACTCACCTGTCCATCAGGATCTTCACGGACTTGGTGTTCTGCGGGGGAGAGAAAAGGGTCAGGCAGTGGGACAGGGAAGACAGAAGCCACCCACCCTCCATGTCCCCAGGCACAGTGACATCCGGCAAGGGAGGGGAAGGGCCACCACTTCTGGAAACCAGCATAGTGATTTTTTGAGCACCTGCTGTGTGACCTATGCCACTGTAACTGCTCCACATCTATTATTCCATCCGTGCAGCTACACAGAAGCTGGGTGCCATAGGCTCCTCTCCTTTTACCTGAAGTTGCTGGGGCAGATATGTTGTGAAACTTGAAATGCTTTGGATTTTAGAAGGGTCAGTGTTACACATCACCCCAGCAGGATACTGCAATGGAACCCATCAACACTTCCGCAGAAAATGTTTGACTTTTCATGTCAATGAGACACAGACAGCCCATAATCCACCCTCCATCAGCTCTGGCCAGTTCCTGCTGTTAAATGAGTTGCCCAAATTTGTTTCTGCTGGTTTTCAGAGATTTAAGAAATCTTGAATGTCAGATAAAGGAGGGCGACCTGCATTGTCAGCCCCCTTTACAGGGGGATTAAGGTGCAGGGGCATCTGTGACTCGCCCAGTGGGAGCAGGAGAGGATGGGCTTGAGAGCGCAGTGCATTGGGGAGGCCAGCAGAGTGGCCTGGGGGCCCCACCACCCACCTTCATGAAGCTGACGTCCTCTGTCTTATCAAAGAGCAGCTGCAAGGAGCCGAGCAACTTCTTGGCCTCCTGCATGCGCTCCCCGAGCTGCAGTGCCTGCGCCGCGTTCTCGCTGCAGAACTTGGCCTGGGCCTTGTCCAGGACCTCCACTGTCTGCCGGAGGTCCTCATCTAGCAGCTGGTGCAGCTTCTCGTACTGCAGCCGAACCTCCTCCTTCAGCTGGCTCACCTTCTCCTGCAGGCGGGCGGGTGGGCGGGGCCAGGAGTGAGTGGAATGGCTCGGGTCCCCTGGTCCCAGGCGGGGTCTGGCCCATCAGCCCCGCAAGGGTGGGGTCAGCAGGTGGCACACAGCCCCCCACAGACCCTTCCTAAGGAGCTGGCTGGAGGCCCTGCAGCCCTGCCCCTGGGCTCAGGCCCTCATTACCTCCACCAGGCGCTTATCGGACTCCAGCTTGTAGAGCTGGTCCTCGATGTCCTGCTCTCGCTCCTCCAGCCGGTCCTGCTGCTTCATCAGCATCTTCTGCAGAGGCAGGAGGGGCAGGGGTGTCAGGGCAGCTGCCAACCCCCACCAAGAGGGGCTGAGCGCCCCGCACAACTGATTCACCCAGAGGCCGTTTAACTCAGCCCACCCCCTGACCCCATGCAAGCTCAGGGGCTGCTGACAGCTGTTGTCCAGCCCATTCCCAGCAAATTCAGACTCCGAGCTTTCTGAGGTCAGGCTTGGGCAGGCTGCTGTTCTAAGCCCCTTTCCTGCACAGACTTTCTAATCATCCCAGCAACACTGTGCAGCAGGCTCTAGTATAATCATTTCACAAAAGAGGAAACTGAGGCCCAGAGGGGCTAAGCAACGTGTACAAAGTCAACAGCCAATAAATGGCCCAAACCCAGGTGCTTTGGCAGCAGGGCCTGTTCTATCTGTGCCAGGCTGCCCAGTACCATCTTAGAGGGCAGGACCCTGAGAGGCAGAGGGTCTAATCATCTTCCCAGGTAACACAGGCCCTTGGGCTCAGTCCAAAAATGTCACCTTGTGCCTGCCCCGAGGCTGAGTATGAGGCCTCTGGAGTCCTTCCGAGCTCCCTCAGTGGGATGCAAGCAGAAAGAAGATCTCCTCCCCTAAAGCCTGAGCCAGTCTCCTGGAAGGTGTCAGATCAAGCTATTCTTCTTAGCTCTTTTTTTTTTTTGTGGTACCGGGGATCGAACTCACGACCTTGTGTTTGCCAGACAGGTGCTGGCACCACTAAGCTACATCCCTGACCCTCTTAGCTCTTAATCTCCTGTCCCCCCAAGAACCCTCACTTACCAGACGGCCCAGCCCCACAGCCCCATCCTTCCTGACCTTCGGCTTCACCTGCACACCCTTCCAACAGGTTCTCTCCCTTGCTCAAGAACCCTCAATAACTCCCTGCTTTCAAGTACTTTAGGGCCGAGGATTTAGCTCAGTGGTTCTAACGCCTGCCTTGAAAGTGTAAGGACCCGAGTTCGATCCCCGGGTACCACAGAAAAAAAAGGTACTTTAGGGTGGCCCCGAAGGCTCTTTTGCACTTGACTCTTCCAGCCAGACAGGCTGACCCCCGGCCCCAGCGCCCTGTGGATGTCTTTCTGCCTGCATGGAGCTCCTCCTCTCTTCCCGGCCACCCCTGGGAAACTCTCCAGGACCCCGTCCTGATCTGTGCCGGCCCTGCCTGCTCCAGGCATGCCACAGGCTGTCACCTTCTGCCCTCCTTCTCTAGCTGTGCTGTCCACTAGGGCAGCCGCTAGTCACAAGCCGCTGTGTAAGCCCAAGTTAATTAAAAGTGAGTTGGGCTTCAACACCAGCCTTGCCCCAGTCCTGACTGCCCCGTAGCTCTGTGTGGTGGGCATGGGACATCGTGGTGCTGCTACTCCAGGAAGGTTTTTTTTTTGGTACCGGGGATCGAACTCAGGACCTTGGGCCTGTGGGGCAGGCGGCGGGATCACTGAGCTACATCCCTGGCCTCTGCCTGCCCACACTGCACTGCAGTGGGAGCCTCCCCAGGGCACCAGGCCTCTCCGAGCGCAGGCAGGGCTGCTCCCCCGCAGCAAAGCCAGGGCCGCTGCCTGCCCTGCTCACTCACCCCAGCAGAGGGCTGTCCTGCTCCCCTGGGGGCCTCGGACCCTGTTCCCAGACTCACCCAGCCGCCTTCCCGCCTTCCCAAGCACAAGCTGCCAACAGCCCCTTCCTCAGGCCCAAACCCATTCTACATACAGGACGGGACGGGATGCCACCAAGACTTTAGCCAGGCCCCACCTCCCGAAGGCTGCTGCGCCAGCAACGAAGATCTGGGGAAACCCTGCCCTCACCCCCAGCAGCTCTGCCTCTCAGGGCCGCACACCGCACCCCAAGACAGACACCTGGGTCACCGCTCAGACTTCAGGCCTCGGCCCCACCCGCACCCAGAACAACCCTCCTCAAACTTTTTTTGGAGACAGGGCCTCATGGTGCGGTCCAGACTGGCCTTGCACTCACTGTGCAGCCTGGCTGGCTTCCAGCTCACAGCGATCCTCCCACCTCAGCCTCCTGGGTGCGGGAGAACAGGCGTGCAGCACCCCACCCAGGTGCACGCAAACACCTGCCTGCTCGAGGACAAGCACCCCAGACTCCTCAGTGTCCCGGCTGCTCCACTCACCTCGCGCCTTGGGCTTCCAGCCCGAAGCTTCTCAATGACCACTCGATGCCCGGGCTGAGACCCTGAGGGCTGCACAGAGGGGCCGGGTGCCCAGGCGGCTCTCACCCTGTGGACCAGTGGCAGCCTCTCCCCCTCTTCCACTGACCTCTGGGCAGAGGCAGGGCTGGAACTCAGCCCCTTCCTTCCTCCCGGGCAGCCACTGCTCCTGCCCTCAGGTGGACCCTCAGGGTCACAGGGGCCCCTGAGGGGCCTCACAAAGACAGTGGCCACACCTCTAGCGGGTGGCTGGGCTCATGTCACGGCTCCCACCTCTGAGGCCACGGAGCCCCCTCTGCCGTGGGCACTGGAGGGGGCAGGAAGCAAAGCTAGTGGCCAGGCGCCTTTCCCGGGCAGGCCAGGTGACCTGAGCCCTGAGGACCTGGAGGTGCTGCAGCCTCTGGCAGCCAGGAAAGGGAAGCGCTGCCCTTTCTCTAGCCATGCACCAGGCTGGCTGGCGGTGGCACCAATGCAGGGCGGCCTCCAGGAGCCAGAGGCAAGGCCCATCCGCTCCCCAGCCAGCACCCTCCTTTCCAAACAAGCCCCACCTACTTCCCCAGGCATCCTATTTAGACCTGGGAAAAGCCCACAGCTGAGGGGCCAGATTCCCAGGTGGGGCCTGCCGACCCCTCCCTGCCCCTGAGGGCCTCAGGCCTCCTGGGGTCTGCTCCTGGGCCTGGGAGACACCGCATCTGGGAGCCTGTCAGGCCAGGCCCTGATGGGATTTTTGCTGTCAGACTGGACAGGGCAGGCGGGTGAGGCATGGGGACTCTGGGCTGCATAGGTTAATTAATAATAATAATAATAATAATAATAATAATAATAAAGCCTGCGAGAAGGAAGGCCTGGAGGGATCAGGCTGAGGCAGTGGCAGTGGCAGCGGCGCCCGGATGGGGTAGGATGGGGCAGTGGGCAGGGGCTGGACCGAGAGCCTCTCCTGCCAGCTCTGCCCCCGCCCCGGGAGAGCTGCCACCCCCACGCCTGTCCCAGGAGTTTGTGGCCCACAACACTGTCCCTCTCTCTCCCTGCCTTGGGGTACCATGTGAACCCTGACAGGGGAGTCACAGAGGAGAGCAGAGGAAGCGGGCAGGAGGCAGGGCCCGAAGAGCAGCCCTCCCGGGCCTCCCAGCTGCAGAGTGGAATTAGCTTTTGCCATGCAGACAGCAGGCTCTGGGGCAGCAGAACAAAGAGGCACTCGAGAAAGCCCCCCTTTGTCTGGGCTTGAATGCCAGGGCAGCCTGGAGGAGGAAGGGTTCTCAGGGCCAGGGGCCGGCCGGGCTCAACTCAGGGCAGGGTCCTCACCACCGAGGTGCCAGAGCTGACACCCACCACAGGTAACTGCCTGCCCTAAGGGAAGCCCCATGTCCCCAGCACCCCGCCAGGAGAGAAAGTCACTTCCCCGAAGTTCCAGCACCCAAAACCTGGGCAGTGCGCTGTGGCAGTCACAGTCGACATCAGAAGCCCGAACTCCACTTCCCAGGCAGGCGCCTGGCACCGCTCACTCACACCCACAACCATGGAGCCCGGTCGGCCACACGCACTGTGCCTTTGCAGAGCTCCTTGTACGAGGTACAAACGTTTAGTCACTTGTGAGATACACGGCCCAGGCACGCTCGTCTCTCTCTCTCTCTCTCACACACACACACACACGCACACACACACGCACGCACGCACACACACACACATGCCCCTAGAGCTGCAGAAGGCACTGTCATCAACAGGGCAGTGTGACAGGCTCCCGCTGCTGCTGAGCAGGATGGGCGTGAGGGTGGTCCGGGGAAGGCCAAGCCAGGCCCCAAGCACAAACTCCAGCACGCACGTGCATGCATGTCTCCACACACCCCCCTGGCTGAGACTTTAGGAGTCCAAGTCGGTGGCGGCAGAGGAGCGATGAGTTTGCACCACCACTCCACACGCTGCAGAGCGGGGCCACAGCTGCAGCCCCCGCAGAGGCAGGGACTCGGGACTCCCTCGGGTGCCCTCACGCCATGAAGCTGCCCCAGCAGAGAGATCTCGGGGCAGAGAGCACCTCTCCAAGCCCACACCCGGGCGATGCTGGGAATGCGGTCCTGGCAACGTTCCCATCCCGCCTGAGACTGAACCACCTCACGCTGGCATGCACCCCTGCAAGGCAACCCCACTCTGGCCTTGGCCTGGGTCCTTTCCATGTAGCAAGAGACCACAGTGCTCCCAGCCCCCGAAGCCCCACTCAGAACTCCCGACCCTGGGGACAAGAAAGGCCTGTCTGTCCAGGCCTGTCAGGCCTCTGCCTACCTGATGTCCCCATCTTGGGCTCTAGGTCCCCTCAGCCCCATGGGGGAAAAACACACAGAGAGCAGTTTTAGGGCCTGTCAGGGCGGAGGGCAGTGCCTTAACCTGCCTGCCCTCCTTCTGGGCCAAAGGCTTAAGTGCACAGTTGTAGGGTGGGCCCACCAGGAAGGGATCCAGCTCACCACAGCCCAGGCAGAGGAGGGAAACTGAGGCCAACTTTAGGGCCTGCGCCTGTCTCTGCTTCTACACTCTGGTGTCCTGGAGAAGCCCACCGCCCTCACCCAGGTACCAGCAAGGCCCCCTGAGGCAGACTCCCTCTAGCAAAGGACCAGGGGCCTGGGCTAAGGTCCTCCCCTTGCCCGGCCCCAAGAGAGGGCTGGGCTCCCCTACTCAGGCTCCTCAGGCTCAGTTCTCCCCCAAGGGCAGCCCCTGCTTCTCCACATCAGCAGCCCAAACACACTGGAGGGGCACTGGGCACCCTGGGGGGCCCCTGAGAGGACAGAGAGCAGAGGGGTCGAGGCCTGGTCAAGGGTGGGACCCGGGAGGCCACTGCCGGGCACAGGGGTGAGCAGATAGAACTGCACATCTGGCCCTGATGCAACCCACTACTTCTGAGCCCGCCCACACCAGGCACAAGCGCTCAACACGCGCACACGCGCACACACACACACACACGCACACACGCACGCACACGATGAAGTTGCTGACAAAGTTCAGTGGCTGTTTCCATCCGGACCTGCAGTCAATAGCAGGGGCCTGCCGGCCGGAAGCCCAAGACATCTGTTCGAGGAAGTGCCACCCTACTGCCCAACGCCACGGCAGGAGCCAAGTCCATCTGAGGGCAAATGGAGACACAGCCGCTGGGCCTCCACCACTCAGAGCCCCCTGCGAGCAGCTGTGTCCGTCCTCTCTGGCTCCTTTCAGCCACCTCCCTGACTCCGCTCACTTCCACTGCCAGTCCTGGGGCAGAACTTCGTGGACAGCCCTCCGCCCGGCCCCCTCCTCCGTCCCTGCCCCTGCCATCTTTATTAATAGCAGCAGCTTCCCAACACCCGGGAGCGCCAGGGGAGGACACAGGGAGGGGCAGCTCCTCCCTCGCTCTCCCCCGCACTTCCTCAAAGAAACCAGAGGGGCGTCCTGGCACAAAACCCCAGCGCCGGCCCATCAACTGCAACTTAATTATACAGCAAATTTTATTTGTTGGCCCTGCCCACAGCCCTTGGTGGCCCTCAGCCTTTTGTTGGTTGTGGCTGTGTTTTTTAATTGCTAAACAGTGACTCACTCTAAAGGAAACGGCCTCTATCTAACTCTATGGAGCCCTGCTCCGAGCTTCCCCAGACTCAGGCTTCCCGCTGGCCTCCCAGCCTCCAGGGTCCTCCACCCAGAAGCACTGCGTTCTTCCTAATCCAGCCTTGGCCCCGAGTCACACCCAGGCGCTGCGACGGGCTGGGGAGAGGGCTCACTGGGCCTAAGGCCAACCCCTTCCTTCTGGTGTGACTCAACCCTGAGCGCCGGGGACCGGGGAGGGACCTGGAAGAGCCGTCCACCAGAAGGGCCGGAAGTGCGACCTCGCCCAGCTCCCAGCCGCCGGTGGCCCGAGGGGAAGGCGGTTTTGACATTGGCTGCGCTGCAGGGTGTACACAAAGGGAGGGGTGCGGCTCCGGCGGCACCGGCCGCAGCCCAGGGGAGCCAGCTGCCTGGAACCGGACTTGGAGGCAGCTCCACCTTAAACCCACTGGGCTCTTCCTCCCTCTCCCACCTCCCTCCCCAAATGTGGGCCGGGCCGGGGTGGACTGGGAGCGGACTCCGGGTGAGGACAGACTCCTAGGTTTGTTCGCCAGGCACCAAGGTTTGTTCGCCAGGCACCGGGGAGTGGGCTACTGGGACTAATCCACACACTGGACTCACTGGCTGTCTGGGCCCGGGCCCACACGCAGAGGAAGCCGGGCTCTCCTCCTCGAAGCTTCCCCTGCCCCCCATGTGCTTCTAGTGGAGCTTAATAGGAATATGGCTGCTTTTGTTTACTTCCTCATTTGTATGCCAGCACCATGGATCATGTCAGCCACAGCAGCCGCACCAGGCCACTCATTACATAAACAGCAGCTGGAGGAGCAGGGCCGGGGTCACTGCCTCGGTGACTTCCCTTAGGGCTCACAGAAACAGCGCTGGGGGAGGGAACTGAGCAAGGCAGGAGAGCGACACCCAAACTACCTCTGAGGACGTCCCTGCCCAGTCCCCTAAAGGACTCTCCTGAGGGACCCTATGGGGACAGGTGCTGGAACGGACCCAGATCCTTCCCAGGACCTTACCCCAAACTTCCAGAGAAGACTTAAGGGGGCGCCCAGCCCGATGTCCCGACGCCAGCCAGTCGGGATGGGTGTCCCCAGGGTCGGGGTCGGGGTCAAGCGGGCGCGCGCGCGCGCGAGGTGCGCGTGCGGGGTACTTGCCCGGATCTCGTTCCTCCGGATCTCCACGTCGCAGACCGAGTGTCCCTGGTGCGCGCCGCTGTAGTAGCAGCAGTACTGGCACACGGCCACCTGCTCGGCCTCGCAGTGGTAGAGGCGGTAGGCGTTGTGCTGCGGGCAGCTCCAGGCCCGCACGTCGTCCGCCTCCACCAGGAGGTGCCCGCGGGCGGTGGAGGGCTGCTGCAGGTGCGTCTGCACGTGGGACTGGCAGCAGGGCGCCTCGCAGCGCAAGCAGACCTTCTGCGCGGGCAGCGGGGGCCCGCGGCGGCAGAAGACGCAGTGCAGCGCCGCCGAGGGCTTCTCCACGTGCAGCGCGTTGAACTTCTCCACGATGTTGGTGAGCTTCAGGTTTTTCTCCAGCCCGGGCTTCTGATTGTAGGCCTGGTTGCACTCCGGGCAGCGCACGAGGCCGCTGTCCTTTGCCCACGCCTCGCCGATGCAGCCCCGGCAGAAGTTGTGCTTGCAGGGCAGCTGCACGGGCTCCACGAAGACGTGCAAGCAGATGGGGCAGATGAGCTCCTCCTCGAAGCAGTTCTTCCAGTTCTCCGCCATGGCGATCGTCGACAGGGGCCTGGCCCGGCCTCCCTCCGCGCGGAGCCGGACCCCACGGTGGGCCCGCGGAGCCCGGCGCCCCGGCCCGACGGCCGCTCAGTCACCGGTGCCCCGCGCGCGCCCGCCCCGCGGCGGAGGGGGCCTGGGTCCTGGCGCCGCCGGCTGTGCCTGCTCCTCGCGAGCGCCCCGTGGTCCGAGTTCCATATGAGGCCGCCCCCGTCGGCGCGGCTAGGGCAGAGGCGGCCCGCGGCCTGCGCTCGGCCCCGTGGCTGCCATCCGGGCGCGCACCTCTTCCCGGCCGGCCGGGGCCGCTAGACGCGGGCGCGGCGGGCGAAGCGACCCGGCAGTCCCCGGGCCGCGACGCGGGCGTCCCCCGACTGGCCGGCTGCGGGGCGCTGCGCGCGCGCCCGGGCGGTCATTCAGATGAAATTCCAGCCCCCGGCCCGAGACAGCAGCCCGCCTCTGCCTTCCTCCTCCTTTCACAAATAGAAACGGAAGAGGGAGGGCGAGAGTGGAAAAAAGGCCACTAGGAAGGGCGGGCGAGAGAAGCCCCGGGGTGCCCGGCCCCGCGCCGCCGCCTCCGCGCCCCCGGGCCCCGCGCGGGGCGCCCCCGCCGCTGAGAGACCGCGCTCCGTCCCCGGCCGAGCGGGCGCCGCGCCGCTCCGGGAGCAGGGATCCAGCCAAGTGGAGAGGAATTCCTCCAACTGCCGAGGCGCGGAGGCTCGGCGCCGGCCCGCCCCTCCCGCGCCCTCCCCCTCACCCTGCCCCTCCCCCACTCTTTTCTTCTCGGCCGCGGCTCCGGCCCGGGCGGCTCCGGGCTGCGGCCGGGCCCGGCCTGCGCGAGGCGGCCGCTGATTAGCGCCCAGCCATCTTGGGCGCCCGGGGCGGCGCGGGGCCGGGGTCCCTGCGTGTGCCGAGGGTCCTGCAGCCTTCTCTTTTTTCTGTGGGTTTTTTCCTTTTCCCAAGAGGAGGGCTGGCGGCCTCCAGCAAATTAGGAGGGAGAGGGGAGAAAATGCCAAGTCTTGATTTCTCTCCACCTCTGCTCCACCCACCCTGGTCCTTTCCAAAAAATAAAAACGGATGGGAACTGGACGGAGTCGCAGGCGCGAGCGCGCGGCCCGCTGCTGCCCGGCGGCGCGTCCGGGGCGGGTCCGCGCGTCCGCCGCAGCCGGGGGGGGGCGGGGGGGGCGGGGAGCGGCAGGGTCTCCGCGGCGCGGCGCTGGCTCAGAGCGGCGTCCTCGGGGCGGGAGACGAAGGCAGCGCCCGCCCAGCCCGAGCGCGCCGCGCCGCGCCTGCAGCCATCTTGCGCGCCGGGTATTTCGGAGCGATCTGCTGAAGGGAGCAGCTGCGTCTCGGGCCCCTTCCCCGCATCTCGGGGTCCCCGCCCCTCAATAATGATCTCGAGAATAAAAATGACCGGCAGGCCGGGTTCGCGCGGCTCCGGCTCTCCGCCCCCGGAAGGGCCGGGCGCGGGGCCCACGGGACACAATAGGCTCGGGCCGGGGCGGAGGCCGCGCGCGGGGAGTCGGTCTCCGGGCCGGGGCGGCCCCACCGCAGACGGGTCCCGCTACTCGCGGGGGCGGGGGCGGGGGCGGGGGCGGGGAGGAAGCGACTGGCAGGGCCTTTAATCTGCACCCGCGGGCCCGGCCCACCGGCGCTGGCGGGCGGGCGGGGCGCGCTGTCCGGAAGTGCCGTTCTGGCCGCGGGGCGCGGCTCCGCCCCCTTCCCTGTCGAGACAGGGCTCTGCGGCCGCCGGTGCGGATGGTCCGCAGCGAGGCTCCGCCTCTTCAGGGCGGGGCGACCCCCGAGAGCCTCACGTGACTCGCACTAATTTCGGTGCCTTAACCGGGGATGGGCGGGGTTTCCGCGCCCGGAGAAGGGCAGTGATGTCCCTTCCTGGTGGGACCGCTTCTCTCTGGGCCCTTCGCTCCTCGCTCTTTTCAGGGAGGGGAGGGAGGGTTCGTCAACCAGTCTGTTCATCTGTCCCAACGATTTCCGTGTTCTTAATACTTTCCCACACTTCTGACGCTTAAAACCACCGAGAAAGGGGGCCGGGGATTTAGCTCGGTGGTTCCGGCCACGCAAGCGCAAGGTCCCGAGTTCTATATCTGGTACCAAAAAACAAAACAAAACAAAAATCTACTGAGCAAAATAGACATTATCCCTCTTCTATTAATAAGGACACTGAGGCTTAGAGAATCGAGCCCATTCGTTTATAAATGCACAGCGCAACAAAAGACTTCCTGTGCCTGGCATTTTTCTAGGCCTTGGGGATTCTCTGGAAAACACAGGATCCAACCCAGCGCCTTGCATGTGCCAGGCAAGCATTCCACTGTGGAGCTACATCCCGGCCCTGCGTGCGAAAGTTAAATCGATTGTAAAACACATGTGGTCTAATTTCTGTGGTGAGAGTAGAGGCACACGTAAAGGCTGGCTGAAAGAGTGGCATGTGAGCGGAGACCTGAGTGCGTGCAAGGAGCCAGACAGGTGACGGCCGGAAGTGCGGAGCGAGCAGGGGTATGTGACAGAGGCCGCTGCGGAGGCCCGGGCTGGAGAGTTTGGACTTCAGGCCGCTCGCTCTGCTCGTGAGCAGCTGCTGGACTGGCTATGTGTTTTGGAAGTAGAACCAGTAGGACTTGCTGACAGACAAGATTCAGAGTAGCGGGGAGTCTACACAATAATAATAGAGGGGTGGGAATGGATCAAGATGTACGCGCCATGGATTTAGCTCACCGGCAAGCGCGAGGTCCTGAGTTCGATCTCTGGTACCAAAAAATAAAATAAAATAAAGAATGTAGTATATCCTTCTGAACTTCAGACATATATATGTATGTACTATATATATATCCCAAAATGTTTTAATTTTTCCTTTTTTTCTTGGCAGTACTAGAAATGAAATCCAGGGCCTTTCGCATGATAGCCAAGCATTCTACCACTAAGTTATGCCTCCAGCGCCCCTTTTTTCTCTAATACTGGGGACTGAACCCAAAGCCTTTGGACTGAGCCAGGTCTCCACCCACTCCACACCCGTAATTATTTTTTTTTTTTTTTTGAGACAGGGTCTCACTCTGTAGTCCAGGCAAGTCTTGAGCTGAAAATCCTTTACCTTTAGGCTACCAAGTGCTAGGATTCACCTGGCTTCTCCCAAACCTTTTAAAAAATATTTATTTGGTGGTACAGGAGATTGAACACTGGGCCTCCTACATGCTAGGCAAGCACTCTACCACTGAGTTATAGGCCCTAGCCCACCTATTATTTATGTATTTATTTATTTATTGGTACCACGATCGAACTCAGGACCTTGTGCTTGCCAGGCAGGTGCGATGCCACTGAGCTAAATCCCTGGCCCTAGCTCACCTATTTTTATTTATTTTTAAAATATTATTTATTTATTTATTTTGGTACCAGGGATTGAACTTGGGACCTTGCACTTTCAAGGCAGGTGGTGGAACCACTGAGCTAAATCCCTGGCCAAACCCACCTATTTTTAAATTCTTAATATAGATCAATTTGTACAAAGATATGGATGTGTAACTTCTAACCAGTCAGTTTCTGGCACAGCAGTGCTTAGTCCTGAGCAGGACTGCATTCTCTCCTGGGGACCCCTCGGCTACCTGCAGACGGCTCCCCTGCAGGGACCTCGGACTAGAGCCCCTCCTGACTGCAGGCCCAGGGCCCCCCGCCAGACTTCTCACAGGCACCTTGAGTTCACTGTATTGGGAAGGACCTGGCTGTCCCGCCTCAGGTATTCCCCATCTCAGTTGCTGGACCGACCAGCCACTGAGTTATTACCAAGCCAGGCTTCAGCAACAACTGGATACCTCTCTATCCCTCCCCTGCATGCATTCACCAGTATCAGGTCCTGCAAAGAGAGCTTACTCTTAAATCTCTCAGCTTGCCCACTTGTCCACTAGTTGCTCACTACAACAAACATTGCAAATTTTGTGTGTCCGAAACATACTAATTTCTGTTCCCTCCTTACCCTCTCCCCTGCAGCCCTCTGCTTCACAGCGAGGATCCTAGAGCCAACCCTTTAGCAAATTCTAGGTCTCCCCACCCCCACCCTAGGGCTAGAGATCCAATCCAGGACTAGGCAAGCAGGCTGCACTGAGCTCCCCGCCCCTTAACATCTCCACTGCTGGTTTACTTCAGTAGCTAACTGGCTTCCCTGCTTCTGCCCTTTTACCTCTTAAGAGGAGTCAGTTCTCAGCATGGCAATCTTAAAAATATAAGGCACCAGCTAGTCATGGTGGGACAGGCCTGAAGTCCCAGCTACTCAGGCTGGGATGGGAGGATTGCTTGAGTGGTCTTTGAGACTAGCCTGGGTAACAGTGAGACAACATCTCAAAAATAAATGAATAGACTGGTACTGCAAAAAAAAAAAAAAAAGAACAGATGAATACATAAATCAGATCATGTCACTCCTTTGCTCAAACTCTTCCAATGGTAGCTGGGTTGGGTGCTGCACACCTGTAATCTTAGTGCTTGGGAGGCTGAGGCAGGAGGATCACCAGTAGTTTGAGGCCAGCCTGGGCTACACAGCCAGACCCTGTCTCAAAAATAAAACAAAACAAATCTTCTAGTGGTTTCCCAGAATAAAAGCTTCTCAGTGCCTACAGGGCCCCACACAACCGGGCCTCTCTGGCTGCTGGGTCTCACTCCTGACTTCTTTTCTGCACCAGCCACCGCCCGGCTTCCTGTTGTTACTCAGGTACACCTGGGGTGACCCTCTGTCTTTGCAGCTGCTCTTCACTTTGCCTGGCCTACTTTCCCCACATAGCTCTGTAGCTCACTTCCTCCTGCCTCTGAGATCCTTTCTTCGGATGTCACCATGCAGTCAGGCCTTCCCTGAGCCATTTAGAAATGTGCCTCCTCCTGTGCTTTCCCCACAGTGTGTGTCTCCATGTACTACCTATTAATTCAATATAAATATGCGTTTATGTTGGCAAAGTTATGCACGTTATGTATTCCTACAGAAATACTTCATGGAATCCGTGTGTATAAAATAGCAATACAATGTCGCATGTAGCTCATCACTACAGTTCAGATCGGGGGATGCAGGGGTTTTCTGTAATGCTGCGGCCCTGCCGCCTAGAATGGGCCGAGCACAGCAGATGCCTGGTGAGTACCTGGTGGCTCCCTTCTCTCCACCCAGACTGTTTCTGGCTAATTCAGGCTGGACCGGTCACCTCGCCTCCATTCTCCCTTTCAAAACATTTTCCATGCAGGAGACTTCAGGCACGAGCCTAACACAAGAGCGTGATGCCTTAAGCCGTCCACTCCAGGCCATCTGAAGTCTAGGGTACCCAGGAAGTTTTGGGGCATGTGCCTGTTATTCCACCTGCCTAGAGAGCCTTTGGAAGAAAAGGCCCCTCTTTCGCTCATCCACATTCGCGAGAGTTAAGATTTGAGTGTAGACGTCACTTCTTCAGGAAGCCTTTTTTGATCTCCCCAGACAGCGTCAGACAGCTAAAATGACGGAGAGCCGGGCGTGGAGGTGGGCGCCTATGGTCCTAGCAACAACAAGTTCAAGGCCAGCCTGAATTACACAGCAAGACCCTGTCTCAAAAAACAAAACAAAGGATGGGGAATGGAGCCAGATGGCTCATGGTGTTATCTCATATAGACCTTGCAAAAACTATGAGACACAGGGGCCGGGGATTTAGCTCAGTGGTTCTGGCACCTGCCTTGCAAGCACAAGGTCCCCAGTTCAATCCCCAGTACCAAAACAACAACAACAAAAAGCTATGAGACACAGACACACGGCAGAAAGACGTTAGAGGCACAGATCAGGCAGAAGCCTGAAGCCACACTGGCTGTGGTGGTGGAGCTGGGGCAGGACCAAGATACTCTCCTGCCTTCCTCTTTCATGGCTCTTTCTTGTGTCTATTTCTGTGTCCCTCTGCCTGCCTGCAGATGAGCTCCTCTGGCAGGGCCTGTGTCTGTCTCCTGGCACAGTTTTTTTTTTTTTGGTACCGGGGATCGAACTCGGGTCCTTGAACTTTCGAGGCTGGCGGCAGAACCACTGAGCTAAATCCCCGGCCCGGCACATGGGCTTTGAAAGAGCGGAGTGTTTTCCTGTGCTTACATTCCCAGAGTGGGCTGCAGGTGGGTAGAAGTGGAGAAACAGGAGCAGGGTCTCCTCGTTTCCTCTCCTGGCAGCTGCCACCCCAGTCACTCAGCTGGGCTGACACAACCCTGGACACCACCAGCAGCCACCTGCCCTCCCCATGCCCCCTGCCCTGGGTCTCTCTTGAGGAGCCTTCTCTGAGCATGGGATGAGTCAGTGCCACCACGCAGATGGCTGCCCCTCCCAGGCCATGACCTGGCCTACTCTGCCCTGCAGACCGGGCACAGGGCTCTTCTGCCCCGGTATCCCCGCCTCCTCCCTTTCCTGGCCTGCAGCTGCCCCAGAGCCTGGCAGGCTGGGCTGAGTCACTTCCAGTTCGCTTTCTCCTTGCAGCCACGGAGTCTGGCAAACCACTCAGCTGCCTGGCCTCGTGGCCCCGAGCCTGTGGCTCCCTCCTTGGGGCCCCTGACCCCCAGTGAGGCACAGCAGAGGGATGTTTTGGCCTTTCTGGGGGAGACAGTGGAGACCACATGAAAGTTCTCCCCTTCCTAGACCTAGGGACTGAGTCTTGGCTCTGGAGACCTGGTCTGGGGAGGGAACGCTTTTTCCAGAAACTGCCCACCTGGGGCTGTCTCCAGAACCACCCAGGCATAGGGTCTTGCTACTGTGCATTCTCTGGGGCACCCTAGCTCTGACCTTGGGTCTCTGTCACTAATCAGAATGGGATAGTGAGCCTGGCATGGTGGTGCACGCCTGGAAACCAAGCACTTGGGAGGCTGAGAAGGGAGGATCGTGAGTTTGAGGCCAGCCTGGGGTACTTATGGAGGCTCCATCTCAAAAAAAGGAGGGTCAGATAAGCGCCCCCAGCCCCAGGCAGCAAAGGGGCGGGGTGTGGCCTGGGCCACCCTAGGTTGTGGGCCTGATCTGGCCACGGGTGACTGAGGGCCTAGCAGGACCTACCCCACTGCTCCAGGGCCTGCCCTGCTGGAGTTCAGTGAGGTCACAGGGGAGGAAGGGGCCCTGACCTCCTCTCGGGACTCCTCTGGGCAGTGGTCTCAGAGGATGGAGGAGCATGAGACCCTATGACCCTACATGGGGACTGACTCCCCTCTCCTAGCCTGTGATGTCCCAGACCCCTCTTCAGCTCCAGCCTCATGGGAGGGTCAGAAGAGGGCCTGGCACTCTCCAGGACAGAAAACCAGGCCCAGCAGGATGGGAAAGAATGTGTGTGGCCCCAGGGGTGGTCCCACAGGTCCAGGAAGCCTGTCCGGGGGCAGATGCCCCGTGCCTGCCTCAGGGGCCCAGGCTGTTGGCCCCACACCCTCCAGCACTGGGCTTTGGACCACCCAGGTCCTGGGAAGCATGACGCCAAAGCCAGGCCTGGAGGAGCTGGTTGGCAGGGTCGGCTGGCCTGGGGCACCCAGTGGGGTGGCTGGATCTGAGATCGATCCTCCTTCCGGCCCTGGGTTAGGCCATGAGGGAAGGGCTGGCTGAAAGGGGACTCCCAACCTGGAGAGGAGGAACGGGGCCTTTCCTCACTTCTGAGGGTCTTTTTTTTTTTTTTTTGGTACCGAGGATCGAACTTGGGTCCTTGTGCTTGCGCAGCAGGCGGTGAAACCACTGAGCTAAATCCCTGGCCCACTTCTGAGGGTCTTGGTGAAGGCTGGCAGAAGAGGAATGAAGTGGTGGGGAGGTCTTTCCCTGTCCACTCAAGTCTCCCTGCGCCCGTTCCCGCTGACCTGAGGAATGGAGACCCCGCCTGTCCTGCAGTCATTTCAGCAGCTATGGGACCACACGCCGCGGCACCCCTACATCCCCAACACTCTGGACCCCTCATGCAGTCTTCTAAGTGGCTGCTCCCCTAGTCCAGGCAGCCAGAAAGGAGCACTCGACCCAGGTACTTCCGCAAATACATTTAATGCACTTAGATTACACCGTAGAAGAGGGGCAGGGGATGACATCTAAGTGAGTCACTCAGAAATTCTTACAGAAGTCCCCGGGCTGGCGGAAGCCCCGGGAACCGAGTCGCCACTGACATTAAAAACGAATAGAAAAGTTTACAAAAGTCTGCTCATTGCAGTATTTGGGTACTGGTACAAAAGCAGGGGTCTTCCTACAGGGCTCCTGACTTGTAACAGGGACCCGGGCACCTGACCTGGTGTAGAGGTCCTGGAAGCCACAGAGGGAAGAACAGATAAAAATACAGTCTGGGAGCTCTTGACTGATCCGCCCCATAGGGGCCCTGACTTCAGGTTTCCTCCCTGCTCCCACACCACTGCAAAGCCCAGCCTCGCCTTCAGGCCTGGTCTGCAGAAGGCTCTGGCTCTGGACCTGCCCTCGCCCTTGGGAGGAAGACATGCAAGGCCCCAGAGCCCAGCAGACCTGAGGCCTCCAGGAGCCTCCCGGCCCTTCAGAACAGAACAGCGGCTGGTGCTGCCATGTTTACAGCCCACCCCAGAGCTGGGGGCCCAGAAGTCTGCTTAGGCTGGGGGTGCACAGCAGGTGGGGAGGCCCCTTCCCAGGAGGAGGCTGAGGGAGCCAACGTGCTGAGGGGATGATGGGGCCTGGCCCGCAGGACCGGGGATGTGCACGGGGTTCCCACGTGGTGGGAGCAGGGAGAGGTCCTAGACGCCCTGGGCTCTTCCTCTCAGAGCTTAGCTGCTGTTTCCTGCCGTCCCCGCTCTGCAGCCAGGGCCACTCTGCTAGTGGTACCAAGCCTCCAGGCTGGAGCAAACTGTTTACCAGATGCCTCACAGACCCATGGCAAAGTTTGCCTACCTCTCCCCAAGCCAGGCAGATGGAGGTTGGGCAACAGCAGCAGGAAGCCCTTGGGCAGGGCTCCAGGGAGAACCTGGGAGAAGCTGCTCAGGATGGCAAGCAATGGAGGCAAGTTGATGCCATCTCACCTCTCTGCCCCTGAAACATCGGAGGTGTCAAAGAAGGGCAAGGTTGCCACATGGGCAAAGGCCAGTAAGGGGCCTTCTGGAAAAATCCTCAGGGCATCAGGTCCAGAGAGGCTTGGCTCTCGGCAGCAGGACCTGGAGCGGCACCTCCCATATCTCCCAGCTGATCGCCCTGAATGCTGAGCGTTGAGAGTTCACAGCACAGCCCTGTGGTGCACAGAGGGCCAGGGGTGGGGGTGGGGCCCTTGGAGGTCCGATTCCGATCCTGCTCCCCCGAGAACCTGGCCAGGGCCCTCATGGCCCTTCAGCTGGATCTCTTTGGAGACCCTGCACCTTATGGACACTCCTGCTGGTGCCCCTGGTGGGGCAGGCCAGGGCAGGAGTCCTGCTTGGTCCCTGACAAAGTGCCTTTGCTTGGGAGAGGCCTGAAGGGTCCTCGTGAAGTAGCAGTTCCTTGAGTAGGGGGTGACTGGGGCTTGCTGATTCCAGGTCAGGAGTCGGAGATACCTCAAAAGGAACCCCCAAACCATAGGCCAGAGATAGGCTGGCTTCTGGAAGGCAGATTGTGAGATACAAGTACCAAGGACAACAGGAGGCCAGGATACAGGAGAGGAACAGGATGAGGGATGGGATGAAAGATGGGAAAGAATGGAAGGAAGGAGGGAGGCAGAGAGCTGTGTCAGCAAGATCAAAGTGAAAGAGTTGCAGAGAGGGTGAATTTTCAGTTTTTAATCAGCCAGAGTCCTGCATCCTGGGAAGCCCAGGGAATGAGGAAAGGAAGCCGGCTGGTCAGAGCTGCGGATCCAGGCCCCGAGAGCAGTAGGGTGGTCTGGGGCAGTGCGCCTGAGCCTCTCCCGGAAGGCCTACCTGGGGGTAGAGACCTGGAGACGAGGGTGTGACCACCAAGGGCCTGAGCCCTTAAGGGTCCCAGACCTTACAGGGCCCAGTTCCCTGGGAAAGCAGCAGCCCCTCTTCCCAGCCCGGCTAAAGCATCACCAATCTCCCTGGCCCCAGCTCCCGGAAGCAGCCTTCTGCTCTGGTGCTGTGTGGGGAGACAGAGCCCTAGTCCTGATCTCAGCAGATGAGGAAGTTCATCTGGGAATAAGGTTTGGTTTAAAAACATTATATACATGGCTTCTGGAAGTCTTTGCTGAGCAATAAAATACCATCTGGTTTCTACAAAATAAAATAAGGAAGAAAACCAAACATGATCGGAGGAATTGCCCTGTGGCCCGGTAGAAGTAGCCAGACCAGCCAGGGCTTGCCTGAGTCCAGCTGGGCATGCTGTGACCAGGCTGCGCAGCAGAAGGTGAGGACCGGAGCCTGTGGCCGCAGCGGGGAGGAAGGGTCTGGGATGCCCGCACTGGCCTGGTGGGGGAGGGGCTGGCCCCATGGCCCCAGCTGGGTGGGGGCCAGAGCTGGAAGCAAGGTGGGGTGGGTGGCCCATGCATGACATCCGCTGGGCTGCGGAGTCATCCTCACATTGTCCTTTTATTCCTGGGAGTCTTTCTTTGCAGCTGGTACGCCGGAAGTCACCAGGGAACACCTGAGCTCCCCTTGGCCCCTGCAGGGCCCAGCCCAGGCTAGTGCAGTGGACTGTCGAACACCACATCAGGGAGGATGGAGACTTTGAGCTTCTTTTCAGGCCAGCTGTACTCTCTGGGAAGTTTGAACTGTGGGGGAGCAAGCAGAGACCCAGCACACACATGGTGAGCAGACTCAGGCCTTCTGCCCACAAACTGCAGAAAGAAGCAAGGCTCTGTCCCTGAGGTCTGAGGCAAGACAGCCCCTTGGATGCCAGGCTCACCCTGGCAGGCCCAGGTGGGTGGCTGGGATCCAGCTGCTGGGGTGCCCTTGCTGCTGCTTCCCTTCTCCTTGCCATCACTCACTGGTGTGTGGGTGTGTGTGTGTGTGTGTGTGTGTGTGTGTGTTTTAGTTCTTTCTTGACTGTGACTGTGCTGACCTCCCTGCTGCTCACTTCCTTGGTTCTGCCTCCGGCCACAAGCATGTAAGGAATCTGCTCCCTGAGGCCCTGGGGCTGAAGGGTGGGGGGCCAGCTAGGGTGAAGATGCTACCGGGAAGAGGCTTGAGGTCTGTCACTGCCATGGCCTCGCTCTTTTCTTTCATGGCTTCTCTTTCTAAGGCTGATGTGGGAAAGACCCCAGAACCGATCCTCTGTGTCTTCCGCCCAAAGTCAGCCTCAGAGTCAGACTGCACTGTGGCCTTGGTAGGGGCAGAGGAGGAGGCTGAGCGTGGCCTGGGACTGGTGTGTGCTCTGAAAGAGCAAGTCCTCATCTGCTCCTGGGGTTGGAAGCTCAGGATGAGCCCTGTGTTGGCCCAGGAGAGCCCAAGGCCTTCCTCCCAGGAATCACTAACTGGCTTACAGTTTGGTTTCTCCCACTCACTGGGGGTTTCTGGGGAAGGGAGGGAAGAGTTGACATCCATTCCCTCTGGATTCTAAGACCTTGCATTTAGTATGGCACATTGGCTGGTCCCCAAGTGCTCGTGGACGTGGACTGAAGGTCTGTTTTTATTTTACTTTACTTATTTTTTGCAAGGCTGGGGATCAGACTCAAGGCCTAGTGCACACTAGGCAAGTGCTCTGTGGCTGAGCTACATCCCCAGCCCAGGACTGCCTCTTGACGCCCACTGTCTCAGGCCAGGCCACACGTCAGGGCCGGGCCGGGTGGGAGGGAGAGAACAAGGCTCTGAGCCTGCTGGGAGCTGGGCTGGAGGTCTGACACATCCTGCTGGCTCGCTCTATCCTCCCTGATGGGGACTCTCCACGCCAGGACAAAGTGGAGACTGGGGCAGGGTGTGGGACAGCTTCTGGACAGGAAGCCAAAGGGAAAGAAGTGGTTTTTAGTGGCCTACTTCCCTAGACTCCCCCAGCTCCTGTCCCTTTCGCCTGGACCGTCTCCCTGCCACCCTCAGCACCCAAGCTCCCAGCAGCAGTCTGGTGCAGTGTGCCCAGGGTGAGAAGGACTCTCGAAGCACTTCTGGGCAGCTGGCTCTGGTCTAAGTGAATAGGGCCTGAGGCGACTGGTGGGCCAGTGTGGACGCTTGGGGATTTTGTGATGCACGATGAGTGAATTCATCAGGCTGCAGCCCAGAAGACAGAGGACACACTGGGCCACCGGGTGCCTGGCTCTCAGCAGCCCCAGCCTCCTCAACCCCGGGCCTCCGCCTGCTGCCTGAGGGTGGTGGGGAGCCCTCCCCACCCTGCACTTCCTGGCACACAGGGCACGGGAGGGGCCAGAAGGGCTTCCAGAGGCCGGGCAGCTTGCTAATGTTCCATTGAGGCCAGGAAGGCTCAGGTCCCAGTGGGGTGCCGGTTAGGAGGCGCAGGGGGAGGGAAGGGACTTTCCAGTATGAGGTAAGTCCCCACACACGAGGGTGAGGGTGAGGGTGCCGGGAACAAGGAAGAAAAACAAAGGGGATCGTGGGCTCCATTCCTGGGCCCGAGAGAAGCAGCCAGGGGACGATATGACCCCACCTGGCCTGCCAGCCCCTCAGGCCCCCAGCTGGCCAGGAACAGGCAACTAAGGGGAGGCTTACGGCTGAGAGGAAGGAATGGACAGTGGCTCCTGGGTGGCCCGGGGCCTCACTGCCCACCAGAACTCCCTGGTGGAATGCTCTCTGGCAGCAGACATGGGCTTTCTGTTCAGAACCTGCCAGAGAACAGCAGGGGCTGGGGAGAACTCGGACTGGCCTGTGCGCCCTGGCTGCCTCTTCAGTGAGGTTCTCAGGGCCGGCTATTCAGTTTGCTGGGGGGTGGGGGTGGGGCGGAGACGGGAGCCGTTCAACACTCCTGGGGGCTCCCCTCCAGCCAGCCCCACACCACAGGCAGCAGCCGACAGACAGACACTCGTGCACATGCATCACAGGCATGTGCTCCTGAAGAGTGGCCCCACAGTGACAGTGAAATCAAACAGGCTTACTTCCTCTGGAGAAGTCAAATCTTCTAAGTCTTCCAACATTTTCTCTACAAACTCTTCGGTCAAAAGAATCTAGAAAGAAGGCATAGGGCAGGCCTTTATTACCGTTTTTAGGTAGATAGTCTGTTTACCTGCTGCGGGCAACGACTCTTCCTGGGCCAACCGGCTCCAGGGACGGAGGCGGTGCTGGACCCCTTCCCTCCTGCCTATTCCCAGCACCTCTCCCCACTGCCTGGCTTGGTCAGTGAGGCAGACAGCGGAAGGGTCAGAGGATGGGAGGGGCAGGGGACATCTGGAGGGTGGGCAGTGCTGGGCCCAAAAGGGAGATGGCAATTGGTGGGGGAAAAGCAAGACACAAATCTTTTCTGCCTGTTCAGGCCTCCTGCCTGAGGCAGGGCAGCAGCGGGAGTGGAGAAGAGCCACTGTCAGGCCCTCCTTGCCGCAGAATACAGCCCCTGCCCTTGGCAGGACAGAAGGCATCGTCTGACTGGGTCTGGAGATGCCCAGAGGGAACCCCGAGTGCCTGAGCTGCAGGATTCTGGGACTGTGGCCCAAACTTCCACTGTAGACGGTGTAAGGAACGCAGTCTCTCCACAGAGTCCACACGCGCTCAGCCTGCCCCCTCGCCCTGCCCTGCCGGCCCATTCAGCCTCTGAGTTTTCTTCTCTTTTCTTTCGACACAGGTCTGTGTAGCTTAGTTTGGCCTTAAACTTGTGGTCCTCCTGCCTCAGCCTCCCAAGTGCTGGGACTACAGCCTATGCCACCACGCCTGCTGGCCCTGAGCTCTTCAGGACTTCTGAGGCACCTCTCCTCTAGGTTCCTTCCAGCCTCCCACTCTGCTGCTTTAGCCTGCCTGACACCTGTCACCTCGTGCTTTCATGTCACCGTCTGGCCCCACTATCGGACGGCGCAAACACCACACCCAGTGTTCTGAGCCAGTGGGGTGATGGCCACAGGCCCTGTAGCAGGCCTTCCTCAAACTGGCAGCCCCTTCCCACCACTCCTCCAGGCCAGCTGATGGGCCGGCCAGGTCCCCCATGCTGTACCTCAAGACCTGGCCCCTCAGGCCTCTCATCTTCCAGGCTTTGAGCCCGGCCTGTCCTCTGTCCTGCCCACAGGGGCTGCCCAGCTTCCCAGGCTGTGGCTCTCCCTGCCTTCCACCTCTGCCGAAGACCCTGGGTCAGTGGGGTGGGAGGCCAGGCTGAGGGGCTCCTGTGCGAAGGATGGGGGACCACGCACACGGGAAGACACCCATCGGGCTTCCCTGGGGAGCTGTCTGCTCTAGTAACACAACTTTCCACACTGTGAGACGAAGTGGCAGAGAGGGTGAGTGGAGTCAGGAGGGACTTTGGGGGTAGGATGGCCCTTAAAGGAAGGGAGCTGATGGGGTGGGGGCATCACATGAGAAAACCACCCCCACCCAAGCAGAAAAATCACCATCATACCAGGGCTTTTCAGTCTCCTTATAGACAAGAAAACTGAGGCACAGATAGCTTACAGCACACAGCTGTGGGGCTGAGACAAAACTATTCCAGCACACTGGGCTGGACTCTGTCTTACATATTTCTTCCGAGCCCTGAACTCTTAGCTCCAGGACACTCACTCCTGTACTCGGCTGGCAGCTCATTTCCTAGGGGACCGGCCCCTCCCCTGGCTGACAGCACCCATCCCTCAGTCAGGGACAAGCAGCTCTGATTGCTGGGCCCTGAACCCTCACGGAAGTTTCTGTTCCAGGAGTGCAGGCCTCAGGTGGAGACAGGAGCAAGGCTTAGAGTCAGAGGGCAAAGCCAGCCTAGGGGAGCGCCCACTACAGTGTCCCCGCTTCATTCTTCCTCCAAGCCTCCAGGGTGGACAGCAGATCTTGCTGGGCTGCAGCCACAGCCAGTCACAACCAGCCCTCCTGAGGCCTACGCCGTGGTCCTTTAACTCTTGTATCCCAAGGGTAAACTCCTACCCTCAAGGCCAGCATTCCTCCATCAGTTACCACCAGTCTGCTTGAGTAGTATAAAAGTCACATTCACATTTTCTGCATTTCTGGGGCTTGCTGCCATCTCTGCAAATGGTAGCACAAACACAAGCAAACCTCAAACCCAGTCATGTCACAATGGCTCCAGTCCGGGCCACACTGGACTCACTTTGAGCCCACAAATAATTCTGAGGGAGTGGCTTTGTGCTAGGCAGTGGTAAGCAGGTCTGGGGTGAGGGGGCCTTTCGGGCCTTGGCCACCCAGTGCGACCTACAGGGAAGGTGGTGCCACTGGCACTTAGTTCCGAGCCAGTTGCTCTGACAGAGGCCTGGGATTGGTGCTGAGAAAGGGTGAGCTGTGGGGGCTTCTAGCAGAGCCACCACCAAGTGTGGCTCCATCTGTGTGGACTCATTTTGTACTCGGTGGGGGGAAGTGATGGCAAGACCCCAAAATGGGGAAAAATCCTAGCCACTCCTCCATTTTCACTTTTGCTGATTTGCTGGTTCCTGCTGGAAACCTCACATTATTTTTTTTAAAAAAAACTAAAGGGGAAAATTGTACATGAAATCTGCACGATATTAAGGATGACATTCTCTACAAAGAAATATGACAGACTGTCATAGCTCCAGGCACCTAATTTAATTTCCTTTGGGAGTTAAACCTTAGAAGCCTGGATTGAACAAACAGGCCCTGTTCTTTGTGTATTTCCGAGCGGGAGCTGAGAATGCTAACAGATCCTATCATCAGGACACTGGAGATGGACAGCCGAGATGCGGCAGCTCCTGGGTGCACACAGGGAACAGACGCACTGTTGTGAGGCGGCTGTGGGAAGCGCCTGTGCACGTCTGGGACCCGGGCTCCTTAAGCTCCCTGGGTCCCTGTGGAGCGGCCTGGCTCAGCTGCAATCAAATGGGGAATGGCACAACAGTGACACTTATTTCACAGAGTCCCACGGAGGTCCGAAAGGGAGAGGACGCCCTGCCCAGTCTGCAGGAAAGTGGGTGCCAGGAGGGGCAGGAGACGGCCTGCAGGACTCCAGCATGGAGGTGGCTGGTGGTGTGGAGGAGGCTTTTCCTGTTTGGAGAAAGTGCCCCACCTCCAGAAGCCTGCACTCAGGGCTGACTTTCTCTTTCTCCTCTGATGCTGATGGGGGAGATAAAGGTAGATTTGGCCTCTACCAATGGCCTGGAAAACCAGGAATCCCACTCCCAGCCAGCCCACATCCCCAGGCCACACGCTGAGTTCAAGGGGACTGGAGCGCCAAGGGTCACAGACACAGCCTCAAACACTCAGGCTGCAAAGAAGCCCGCCACTGCCAAGGTGGTTTGTAAGTGCGGCCAGTGCGGAGATTTCTAGGTCAGCCCGATGAGTGCACACTTTATAGTTCCTCTCTGAAAAAAACAAACAACAACAAAACAGTTCCTCTAGACTAGATAAAGGCAACAGAGACGATGACAATAATGATGAGGATGACCACTTATACTCGCACGCACGAAGAGCAGGCTATAAAACGCTTAGGTCTGTGCACAGAGCCCTTGGGGAGAGGAGACTCCTAAGAAAGATGAGCAGCATACTCCCCTCTGAGGCTTTTGAAAGCACGGAGATGCGAGGAGACACAAGCTCCTGAGTCAGAGTACCAGGGCGAGACCAAGTTATCCTGGGAGGCCTTGGTGGATGAGCACTGGGCCCCGAGGGGAAGGGAGTGTGGGCACAGCCTGACCAGGGGTTGATGGCTACAGCGCCACCACCATCTAAGCAGCTGAGCCGTGAGGGGAGCGGCGGGCTCCTGCTTTGACCACAGAGGGTGCTTGGAATCTAAGCCAGCAAATTACTCCAGTGGGCTCACACCGGCTGCCTTAGAACAGCCTGGATGGTTGGTGGTCAGGGAGGACTATCAACAACCTTTCAATTCCCCAGGCCCCAACAAGTCCCAGAAAGGAACCTGAAAAGCGGCCTTTTGTCTGTGCCTGCCCGGGGCCCAGTGCAGGCAGGGACCCAGCTACTGCAGATCTGACGTGATTCAAACGTCTGTGGACGAAGATATTTCTGAGTGGCTGACGATGCCCACTCCTTCCCCTTGGTATGACAAGCCACACTTTGTCCAGGGCCTTGTTTGCTCTTTGTGTTGACACGCTGTTCTTGCTTCCCATCAAGTTTGCCTTTCTTCTCCCTCCCTTTCCTTCTCTCAGGGAAGCAAATGTGCTGTTTACAGTGGCTGGGCTGGCCAAGGGGCCACGCCGGCACCCAGAATGCCAGTGGAGGAGGAAGGAACAAGCAAGCAGTCCTGGCTGCTATGTCCCTCCTCCCCGCCCAGGCCAGACAAAAGCCAGAAACACCCTGCAGGCAGCCCTCAGCCGCACCAGGAGGGGGCACACCCGTGTGCTTGCGGGCAGTGGGGGCCCAGTGGGGCCTGCAAGAGGCCTCACTCATGTATTTCCTGTCCTCAGTGGGTGGCGTGAAGCAGGCTCAGACTCCTGCTCCAGCTGTTTGTTGCTGGGGACACAGTGGGAGTTAAAGTCCTGTCCCTCCTCAGGCACACTGCCAGACTTTACATCTTACAGGCCTAGCCCCGCACAGTGAGGTCTCCAGGGACAACAGGTGTGGCCAAGGAGGATGGTGGCCACCACAGAGGAGCTGCCCAGGGCCTGAGCCAGGACTCCCACATCTCCTCTGCACAGGTTCAAAGGGTGGGTGTGGGCGGGAGACTGCAGGGCTGGTCTGGAGGCCGTGTCTGTCCCTGGCTTTGGGAGAGCTCGGCAGCGATTCCTGCAGACCTGGCTGGCAGCAGCAGAGCCCACTCCTCACAGCTGCTGGGTGTCTTCTCCCAAGCCCAGGGCCTCCCTTTGGGGCTGCTCGGGAGTGGCTGGGCCTGGGGCCACTACCTAGGTGAGCTGTCAGACACCACACACCTGAGAAAGCCTTACAGAGCCTACGAAGATATATATCCTCCTGTTTGGTGATGTGAGCCCTGTGACCTTGGGCTTGGGACTTCTCCCCTTCAGCTTGCCTGGCTGGGCCAAGCTCTGCTCACAAGACTGACATCCAAGGACAGCAGCCTCTGGGTGCAGGGACATGGGGCAAATAGGCAAGGAGGACCTTGGTAGCA